ACATTTATTTTTAATTTCCATTGTCACCGATACGAGCCTGTTCAAAGTACATTTATTTTTTTTATTTCCGATGTCATCAACATGAACCTGTTCCAGGAACATTTATTTTTGATTCCTGGTGGCACCAATATGAAACTATTTTGTTAGATCTAGTTTTGATTTACCGTGCCCGCTCAGCGGTAAGTCTGTTGGTTTATAAATCTAAAAACACGTTTTCGATAGCCGTGGTGGGCATTGCACAGATAAACTTATTGTGTAGCTTTGCACTTAGTAACAAACAAACAAAAAAAAAACCTGTGCGACAGATATGAAACTGTTCTGGACAGACCAAGACTTAATTTTCAGTTCTGTTTGTATGAAATGTTTTTCAGTTGTATCTGTGGGATAAAAAATTTTAATATTTGTAATCAACATTAAAAGTGAGTTTCTGATATGGTTAGACATGGTATTTTCAAAGTATTTGTCACCCTTGTTTGTTACAACGAGAAAAATATTATTTTTAACCATCTTATCTATCTTTTCAGCTCTAGTTTCATTCATCTTTTTTCCTTCAGTTAATGTAAACTCGTTATTCATGTTCAACAGTTTTATTTTTTTCTAGTTCTTTTTTTTCCCACCTCGTATTGTTTTCAAAACCTTTCACCTTTTGTTCTTATCCTCTTATTTTTAATCTCTCTTCATAATCCTTCTCGGTTCGAATCACATTTTTTTACAATTATTTTTCATGTGGTCTCTTGCTTTTCGTACACATCAGGAATTTTCAGTACTATGACTAATTACACATCTAGCGAGTTAAATCCGCCTATTTATCATCGTGTAATTTACACCATCATTTCACTCTCAGATTCAGTATCGTTTAACCGAAGCCCGCCCAGACAAACAGACACAAGTGTTGGTTATCACATCTACTCAGAAACCCGAGATAAGAACGACGCTTGTGACATTAAAACGATGGGATGACGATCTTGTTGCCAGGGTTACGAACGTTGCCCGTAAGGAAGGTTGTGTATGTATGTATATATATTAGAGAGAGAATGAGCTGATTGTAGCAATCTGTGAGAAGTGTTGTTACATAAAAGTGGAAAATGCGATTGAATCAATTTTTGTATATTTACTGAAACCATGCAGCAGTTGTTTATTCCACGATTTGGGTATAAAGGAACGAAATGCATCTGTCTGTGGTATAAAAATAAATATATTTCAACTTTTATTACAGGCTGAGCGCGGCCCAGTGGTTAGTGTGCCAGACTGTAGAATTGAGGTTGCGTGGTTTGCGTCCCGTTACCGCAAAGAATAAAATAAAAATCGCATTTGGGGCTTTGGGTGCGTTATAAGAATGACAATCAGATCCCTCTAGTCTATTACTTCAAAATTAGGGACGACAAGAATAAATAGTCCTCGTGTAGCTTCACGTTTTACTAAGTAAATGTGGGGCCTGTGTGTTAAGTTTATAAGTATCGGTTTTTAATTTTCGATAAACCTTGTTAAGAAAAGATGAAAAGTTCATCACAGGTATAATTTTTCAGTATAGTAGGCCTAAGCCTGTTTTACATTTACTAAGTTGTGGAATTGTATAGTAGTTTTACAATGTTTAAAACTATTATTTCATAAAAGAAACGAGCAATTACAGTGATTGCATACCCTCGCCCCGATGCCCCTTTTCTAGATTGCACGTACTTATATTGGATAACATCAAATTATCCTTAAGGATATTCGAAAACTCAGAAAATCCTTCTCAGATCCACAATGATCATCAATCCGGATCATTTTTTATAGTGTGATGAGGGGTCTCAACCTTAACGTGTCCATGAAATTTGGTACAAAACTGATCACACTTTTCAGAGTTATTAACCCGGGCCAAAATGGCGAAAATGCTCTCGTTCCCCATTATTAAAAACGCTTCAAAGTGATGCAGGATCCGGATTTTAACCCGGACCAAATTTGGAGAAGACCGTCCCACCCTGACTTCCCACTTTGTGTAAAATTTAATATACATCGGTCTACTAGTTTTCGAGATACGCGCGCAGAAAGACAGACAGACACACGCACGTACTCAATTGCAATATCATCGCCCCCCACCCTTCTCCAGGGATGTAGGTAAAAAATCACCTCTCATGTTTCAGGACAAAATTATGTGTGCAATTTGAGTACAATTATATTGTTGAATATATCGATCTGCACTCGACTTTAATCCAATCTAATTTTGGGGTCGGCCGCTCTGGTAGTCCTTCTCCAATAATTTCTATCCTCCACATCCTCCGCCATTACATCCGTCTCTCTCATGTATTTATCTATTCTATCTTTCCATCTCAGTTTTTGATGTCCTGTACTCAGTCTACCAAATATCCTTCTTACTGGGTTATTTTCCTCTCTTCTCTGCACGTGCCCATATCACCTCAGTCTAGCTTCACGTGATTTTTCTGTTATCTTACACGTACCAGCTCACTTTCTAATATCATCACTCATGATACTATCCCTTAAGGATATTCCCATCATCCAACGTAACATTCTTATTGCCGTAATTTCCAGCTCACTTTCTAATATCATCACTCATGATACTATCCCTTAAGGATATTCCCATCATCCAACGTAACATTCTTATTACCGTAATTTCCAGCAAACTTTCTTTTTTCCTTCTCATTGTCTATGTCTTCGTTCCATACAACAGAACTGGTCTAACTGCTGTCTTATAAATCTTAACTTTCAATTTTCTTGTCACAAACTCCTGACACATTCTTCCACTTCTACCATCTACTCCTTACTTTCTCTCTTACATCCAGGTAGCATCCCAGAATATCGTCTATATGTGAGTCGAGGTATTTAAACTTATGTATTTGAGTTTCCTCCCTATTCAGCCTATCTTGTATTCTGACCAATTGCCCTCCCCCTTTATTACTTTACATTGTCTCTGTCTTCCACCTCTCTCTAATTGTTGCTGCCAAAATCTATCTACCTGTAGTTCCTCTTCTCTTCTAGCCGTGATCACTAGGTCGTCAGCAAATAACAAGTCCCACAGCTCTCCTCTTCTGATATTGTCTGAAAGAACGTCCATTACCGTTATAAGATGGAATGGGCTAAGTGTTGACCCTTGAGTTAGACCTAGCTTTACTTCCAATTCATCATTATCTACTTGTTTAGTTCTTACTTGCGTATTTAAACTTTCTTACATTCCTTGGACCATTCTGACAGTTTTTCCTTAACCTCTTTCTTTCTTAAACACCAACAAACAAATTTCCCTGGTACCATGTCATATACCTTCTCTAAGTCCACAAAACACCAGTATAATGTATCATCTCCCACTAAGATCTCCTGCAACTGCCTTACAATGAATATTGCTCTAACGGTATCATTAGCATAAAACCAAACTGTTTCTCATCTGTTGATATTATCTTCCTTTAGTTGTTCTTCAACTATTCCCTCGGAGATTTTAAACACATGCTCAATTAGCTTAATGCCTCTATAAATGCCATATTCCAATACACCACCCTTCTGCATATATATAGATACCATTGTGTACTTTCTCCAGTTTTCTGGAATTTTCTCTACATCCCATACTATCTACAAGAACTTCCACATCATATCTACGACTTCTTAACCCATAGCTTTAATCTCAACTGTCACCCTTGATGGCCCACTCGCCTTACTTTGTTTCATTTTCATGATAGCGTTTTCAGCTTTTGATCTGCTTATTTCTTCCACTGGTCCTTGAACTCTATCCGCATCCTCTGTATCTTCTCTTTCATTTTCTACATTTAACAGTTCTTCATAATACTGCTTTCACACTTTCTTTATGTCTTTATCCTTAACAGCTATTAACTCATCTCTGTTTTTTATTGCGTTTACTTCTCCAAAATGTCTTCGTGCTCTTTCTCTAGACTTAGCTATTTTATGTATCATCTTTTCTCCTTCAGGCATTTCCAGCTTACTTATTATATCCCACTTTATTCATGGCCACTGCTTCCTTGGGGAGGAGGGTCGTGTAAAATTGTAGTTTGTCTAGATTATATGTGCAGACAGGCAAATTGATTCACATTCAGGAGGATTTAGATGGTGAGATTAATTAAAATAACTTAAGTGGTTGTAAAGGGAGACTAGTTGGATTTAATAAACAAACGATTTACCTTTAATCATAGTAAATTAATAAAGTAAAGTGAACAGGAGAAACCATCCTACTAAGAAAATAAATTAAGCGACAAACAAAAATTACATTATGGAGCTAAATTGAAACGAGAAATAACTAAAAATTAAAGCTGATAAAGAACTTTAAGAAAGAAAGAGGGCGGCTATCTAAGCAAATAACAATGACAAATAAAAAAAGATCTGCTCTCAGGTAAGTCTGTAATCTCCAAATGCAATTTCTTGAAATTTGAGAATACAAGCCAACCAAAAAAGTGGCGTGTGGATTAATCACAGTCAGGACAACCTCGATAGTCAGCATTCCCACCGCATGTGACAATCGGACAAGTAGCCTCATATTATCTAGTGTAAATCATTACAATGAAATGAACCTTAAGATGGTCGAGACAGCCTAGATTGGCACCCACTGTAGAAACTACATAGCTAGAGCTGACTTTTTGATGTTTTATTCAAACACAGGAAAAATGCATTAAGTTATAATTATATAATATGAACCTAAAACGGAATAAATTGAGTTTTAGATGTAAGTGATCTAATCAATTTTTGTCTTGCCCTTTAATGTAAAGCCTTAGCAAGATGGTAAGTTTTTATAATTATGTTAAAGTTCTGTATTACCTTTGTATTTTTAATTATAACAATATTGTTGCAGTCCATTAATGGATACTATTATAACGTAAAGATGGTATTGCAAAATTCAAGCTCAAATAAAATCTGATACTTTTGTATTATCTCAGATTCATCTGAAATGGTTCGCCAACTTAGCTGCTTTGTATTTATTTAGTTGTTAATACAATCCCTTAATGGTTCGCCAACTTAGCTGCTTTGTGTTTATTTAGTTGTTAATACAATCCCTTTTTTTTCAGAGCATGTTTGGCAAGTGATCGTAAAAAACAAAGGACTAGGAACTACTAAGAATATTACAGGCCCTTATCGTCTTTGTCTCTCAGCAAATATCTTAAGCCTCGTCAAAGTGACACTGAAAGACGACGAAACGGAACCCATTGCGTTCCCTGTAAGTGATATTTAGGAAATAAATTTGTTTTTAGTAACTCAGGAATTTTAAATAAAACTGGGAAACATAATCTTAAAAAAGGTTTAAACAAACAGTAAAACAACATGTCGAAATATTAACAGCGATTGATTCAAAACTAAGATTCTTGCTTAGACATTTAATGAAACATCAACAGAAAAATTTCAGTGTACTTATATATATATAGCTAAGCATTGGAACTTTGTAACATATCTCAGCTAAATTATTGATACAAAAAAGCAACGCGCTGTTGAACCTTGGGATATTTTTCAGCATAACATTCCTCTTTATATTTTGCCGAATAAACTTTCCTTAATTACTTTAAGCGTTTTGTAAGCTTTATAAACGTAATAAACTGGTTTGTTTCTCAAATGAAACATAGCTTACATCACGCAAATATTTGTCTGTTTAGTTCGAACAAATAAAATAGAAGTAACTACAGAAAAAAAGTCTACGTCTCGACACTTTAAGGTGAAAACTGCATTAGATCACTTTGAAAGTGAATACTGTTCTTTGGTCTTGACCACTTGACACATATTCGAAAAGAAACTTGATATCTTTCTGGGTTCTTTAAGCATCTTCCTTCCATTGTATTATTGCAGCAACAGAGGCTTCATTCCTCTTTTTCAAGGGCTATGCCTAGCTTCATTGCAATGAGTGTTTTTGTGCTTTCTTTCGTAAACATAGCCTTCATATTGTATATGAGGTCGTTGCTTTGTATTGGGTTGTGGTTTCTGGGACGTTGCTGTTCGAAACACATTACAGTGCTAGTTTTACCGTTTCCATGAAGAACAATGAATGTTACTAATTTCAAGATGACGTATCCTTTGACTACTTATCTCGCTGTGTCCTTATTCATCTTCCGAAAGAGAGGAGTGGTCACATATTTCTCCAGCTATAATTCTATGTGTGGTTGCAGTCCGCTGTTGAATGATTAGGAATTCGTCATGGGCCATATATATAGATATATAGATGACAATGTCACCTGCAGCGATACGTTACTGTATTGTGCAAATCTTTTTTATAAACTGAATTAACCCTTTATAAGGTTCGCTTTTCATTTTTAATATTAATACTCAAAATGGTTTTACTCCTAACTTTTAGTTAAATCTTACAACAATTGTTTGTCATAATTTCATGAAAATGGAAAGAACTTTTGTAGCACACGAGGTTGGTATTTATTTCCTATTTCATTGCGCATGTTTTTTTTTTTTTAAACATAGATCTATACATGTTTTCTAGAGATAATTTTGGTTACAAAATTTAAAGTTATAGTCTACGTACAAATGTTACGTACGTTATGTTAATACGACTTTGGAGCTTCATTACGTCGTTAAAGTCCATGTCACAACGTCCGGTCATGGTCTGTCTGAAAACCGTACATCGTGACAACAACCCTGCAGCGTATTTCCATTGCAAAAGGTTACGTCGTAGTGCTGTCGTGTCTAAAGCAAATTCCTCCCTGCATGTTTTCCTGAAGCATCTAGTGTATGAGAACGGCTGTTTCCCAGCAAGTTTCAACAGTCCAATTGCACAGAAATCCATAGGCGACTTGATCGGGATGTCTATGCATGGGATAACATGAATACCCATTTCATTCTTCGCCTGCTTGAGGTATGCGATTCTTTCTGGATGGCTCTGGTACTCCAATTAGATCTATATTCCTTTATTTTTCCAATTAAGTACAAGGGATATCTCTGTCTTGGAAACTGTAAAAGTCCTATTTGAAGACATCTTTATGATCTAAATATTTTAATATTTCGCGTCAGACAAGATTGTTACAACCCCCTTCCTAAAAGCGAACAATTTTTGGTAGCATCACATTACCTACGCAACGACAAACGAAGTTAAAACGCAGTTCTGATATATTTTTTCCATTGCAGATTTATACCGACTGTCTTTATCACGTGACCTGCTGATTTACGCATTCAAAATCGGTTTAGTATAATGTGTTAAACCCTCTATACAACGTTGTTTAAAATAAAAGCGTTCCTTCTAGATCTGTAGTACAGGCTCAGAACATATAAACTAGGGGTTATTTTAGCGTGATATCTGACTCATCTACTAGCTTTAGATTATACTTTACGATTATAGTTATGAATTATTAATAATACAGAAATAGAAAAGTCAGGATTTTCTTTATATGTACTTTTTTCTGTAGTTGTTTTGTTTCATGAGCAGTATCAGGTTTGTGCCCATTTTAGTGTAGTTGTTTTAAATTTTCTGTGTACTTCATTCTTATCTATGATGCAACACGAAGGATTTATAAAGCCTTAGCGGTTTTTAGTGGAAGTCTGCAAGGCCCAAATTAAACAAAGAATATTCTGAAAGATGCTTTTGGTTGCGAGTCTAGTTTTAAAATATTTTAACAAAAGGTTTTTACGTATAAACGTTTTAGAGGACTTCCAGAAAGTAATTTTGTTATATTAAAGGCACGTGATCAAATACAAATTACTAAAATATTTTTGTAGACATAATCAGAAATCATTTTCCTCATATGGTGACTTCAGCTGATCATGATCTAATGTTAATGTGCCGAACTGCCCGTTGGAAAATTGAAAGCTTGTACCGCGTTGGCGCTTAACTTGCTTTGCACTTTCAGCTGTGGGTGCGTCATAAGAGTGACAACCAATCCCATTTTTGTGTTCAAAGTGGTATAAAGCCCTCAAGGCTGTTTAGTTTAAGGTGTCAATACCAAATACTTTTATGGCAATTAAGATTAAAAAAAAAAAGAATCGTAAATGACGGAGCCAAGTGCTACAGGGGAAAAAAGAAACATCACTTATATTTCATGTTCAACACTAAACATTGTTTATGATTATGAATACTGACTTCCCTAGCTAGACCAACTCCAACAGTGGGACTAACCTACGGCAGCTGGCTAGAAGCTGATATTGTGAATAACAAACTACCGTTTCAAAATATTTCTAAAGAAGCTACAACAACAACTAAGACTTCAAAGGAGAGTTATGTATAATTTATTCTGGAAAGAAAGGCAACCGCAGTGTTAAAATAATAATATTATGCCAGGAACGAGACCTTACAAACTTATGATTTAGAATTCCTGTAGCTAGTTCACGGTGTATCTTACGATAATTTGAATAGAGGAACAAACAGGTTCTCAATCTTATCCATATTAGATCAACAATAAACAAATTTACCAGAACGAGAAAACACCCCGTTCAAAAGCATCAACGGAACTTTATCTAAGCCGACACAATCATACACCTTATTTCTTTGTTCTTCGCACCGCTCGGCGTAACGCAAAAGTATGATAAAATGCCTTTTTTTTTGGCAAGTCTGGAAGATTGTTTTTTATTCAAGTACACAGCAACTAAGAAAAGGAAAATAACTGAAAGACTACAAAAAAGCAGACACGCTAAATCCTCAATCCTTAAAACATAAACAAACAAAACAGCGAATTATGGAATAAATTCACCTGCATCTTATATGTTTAAGAAATATTAGAAAGATATTGGAATAAGATGTTGTTGTTGTTGTTTGTTATTAAACACAAAGCTTCACAAAAGACTATCTGTGCTATGCCCATCACGGGTATCGAAACCCGGTTTCTAGCAGTATAGTCTGCAGACGTACCGCTGTACCACTGGGGAGGGATAAGAAAGATCGACAAACAGAAGCCCAAAGAATGTGTAACATGTTACATCGGTAAAACAGGGAGAGACAATAATAGAATAACAAAGGTCACACACACAGCAGTAAGTTGTTTTTAGCGCATACCTACACGATGGGCTATCTGCATTGTGCCCACCAGGACTTTAGCGTTATAAATGCTCACCGGGAGACACGGCAACAAGAAACTTCAACACGGAAAAGAACGATTTCGCCGAACAGTCTTAAGCACCGAGGAGAAAGGAAATGTTAAGAAACTAAAATATAGAATATTCAAACAAACTCTTCAAACCCAAATTAAGCATCAAACTCTTTGAAGCATTGAGCACCAGTAGTGCGGTTAATTAAAAACGAAACAAGTACAAACCCCAAACAACCCGTTTTACTCGCAGGTGTGTCATGAATCTATATAAATATAATAGTACTGTCTGTTGTCTGTCCATGTAACTAATTCGCAGGGTGTTGGTGGATCTTCACCAAAATTGGCATGGAAGTTCTTTAGTTTTGCGTTTTGCTGTTTTTATTGGCTTTTTTTTTGCGTTTTTTACCACTACCTCACTTCCTGTGGATGGATCTTCCCCATATTTGGATGGAGGTTCATTGGGTCCATAGGGAGATACCTAGAAATTTTCAGTTTTGCATTTTGCGGTTTTTATTGGCTTTTTTTGCGTTTTTTACCACTACTTCGACCCCTGTTGATGGATCTTCCCCATATTTGGCATGAAGGTTTGTTGGGTCCATGGGGAGGTACCTACAAACGTGCGGTTTCACATTTTGTGTTTTGCTGTTTTTATGAGCGTTTTTTACAATTACATATGAGGGAAGCAACTTTTCATGTCCGAAGATAACCTTTCATTAATCATGAATTTACATAACTTCCATCCAGGGGATGGGTACTCCAGGTTGGTTGGTTGATTGATTGATGTTTTATAGCGCAAAGCAGCTAGGCTATCTGCGCCAAACAACCG